AATAATAATAATAATAATAATAATAATAATAATAATAATAATAATAATAATAATAATTAATAATACAGCTACAGCAGCAGTAATAGTAGTAGTAGTAGTAATCTGGACTTATAACACATTAAAAATGTCAGATACCAGAAATCTGTCTTAGGGGTAACCTGCATCTACATAATCAACCTGTCCTCCCATCACTTTACCCCAATTTAAACCTTATAAGTATAGTCACTGTATGAATCTGATGAAGTGAACTGTAGCTCACAAAAGTTTATGTTGTTTAATACAGTTTGGTAATTGGAAAAGATGGTTCCAGATTCTGATCCCACCCCCCCACTATAACTAACACGGCTCCCCTCCTGTATTGTTGTACACAGAGCTATGATTTTGTGGTGTGCCAGGAATCCTTCCAGCTCTAGCTCCAATATTTTTTGAATGGGCAGTATCTGTGATTACAACCAAATATTTAAATGGATCTACCATTTGCAGTGCTTCTTAGGATGTTCAGAAAGAGGCATGTATCACCATGTCATGATTCACACCACACATTAAAACATTTGGCTTTATTTGGTGTGGCTTTGGCTAGGTTGGCTGTGTGAAATATTCTGGCTTGTAAACCATAGTTTATGGCCTAGTGTGTTGTATAGGTATAAATGAAGTGCTAAAATTGTGGGTCCTCATCTTATTTTCTACTTCTGACTTCTACAGCTCATCCAAAAAATGTCAACTTGTAAATTTGAACTGAATACTGCATGGGAGAACAGAATAAATTAATTAGAACATCAACATAACAGGTCATCAATATATCCCTATCTATTACGACTTTAAAATTCGGAGGTTGCTTTAATTTTAGCAAAGCACTCTCATTCCTGTCATTTTGTTGCCTTTTAGGTCCAACTGCACAGGAAACCTTTCAGATAATATAAGCAAGTAATTCCATTATCTGTCTGTTTTTCAAAGGCTTTGCAAATCAACGAATTTACTGGACTCAGATTTTGCAATGAAACCCCAGAAGGGGTCAACGTAACATGTGTTTCTACTACTGCATTTACAGTGTAAGCATCTGTCACATGACAAACTGTTGCACCATCTAGAAAACTAAAACAAACAACAATGCCCAAGTTTCTTTAATTATTACTTACGTTTTTAAAAAAAAGATATGTTTACATAAAAATATTCAGGGCTTACTAGTGAATAAGATATGGAACTGTTGCCAACTTGACGGGGCAAAACATTTGGAAGGGTGTCTTGTAAAACACATTGAGTGAAGCATCATTCCTCGAGGTATTAAGGTTGCTGCATCCTTGTGGAGGCTGATGTTTTTCACAGTTGACTCTGAAGGTATATATGCACCATACTTCTACTGGTGCTTCCAGAAAAGCAAAGAAAGTACACATGAAAACAACTGGGGAAGCATTCTTAGCATGTTTCATTGTTATTCACGGAAATTTAAAATTTAAAAATATATTTTTGCCCAAAACATGCTATTCATTTCTAGTTTTCAGCCAAAACATGCCATAGCGAACAATGATTTTGCTTAACGACAATTCTCTTAATGACTGTTGCATTCACCTTATGACTGTAGTATTTGCTTAATTGAGTGTCACGAAAAAGGTTCTAAAATCATGGGCTAGCTGTATTATGGCCGTAAGCAGAAGACTAACTGTATGAATTTACAGCAATAAATAAAAAAGTAAATTAAAAATTGCATTGTCCTAATACAACCTTCTTTAATCCATGTTTTTAGATGCACTGGAGAAGACTATTTGGAAATGCAAGGCATTGGCACAACTGCTTGGGACTTGTGGCAGAATCACGTTGCACTTACATGTATGACTATCATTTTTCTCACATGTGCATATCTGAAATTGAAATTTCTGAAGAAGTATACTTAGCAAGAGACTATCCTTATTTAACAGAGCATTGTACTTTTATAATAAACATGTAGTTCTTGTAACATACGGTATTCAGTTCTTGAAATACCTTGCTGATTCATATTAGTAATAATTATGGAATTGAAATTGTTGTACAGCTATTGCCTTCAAACTGAGGGCCAGTTTAAGCATATTGTTTTGTGTAAAAAATAAAAGAGAACATGAAGCCCCTGAAAATTCTATCTGAGGTATCTATACTACACAAGCCGGATATCTGATCTCTTGCAGTTCAAGAAAGAATGGACATAGAAGTCAACCCCCACAACTGGATGGGAAGATGGTATCCCCATAGCAGACTTAATTAGCCAATAGGAGCAAGGCAGATCCTGGCTCCTGACTGTATTGTTGGTATAAATTAATGAGGCATAGATTCTTTGTATTCAAGATTTATATTGGGAAAGGAAAAATTCCACGTAACCGTGAGACAACTGAAGATACCGTAGATTGTCTCATCAACAGAGGATGTCATAAAGATGTTTGTCCCGTAAAATCAGGTGTCAAGGTATTACTTAGTGGTAAATGGAATGTGAAGACAAGCCCTATAATAGAACTGACTTGTTTCATTCACTGAATTAGGGATGTGTAAAGTATTTTGCAGACTATTCTGATCTTGAAGCAATACCCATTTTAAGTTTTGATCTGGGTTTTGAGCTTGAAAAAAAAACTATGTTTTTTTTTTAAAAAGAACATTTTACATTCATTTGTATTTTGTTGATGATGAGTTTCAGCTTTTTGTGTTCAAGCTTTGGTGTGTCTTGAGTACCTTTTATGATGTGAAGAGTAAAAAATCTCTGTTGCTTTAAATGCTCAATGAGCAGATTTTGCTCTTTATTTTTCTTGTGCAGAGCTTGGTTTCCATTTAATCTGTTAATTTAGTTCTGGCTGTGATTTAATTCCTGATTAAATTTACATTTTAAATTGTAATTTAATTTTAATTTAACTCTGTCTCTGTTCTATGAGCTCCAGAAAGCATTTTACTTCCTTGTGGTAGACCCAGACTTGGGTCAATACTATACAGATAGTCCTCAACTTACAACTGACTACTTAGTGACCATTCAAAGTTCTCATGGATCTACCCATGGGGTACTTATAAATTGGATTTGAAGTTCCAACAGTCATCCTCCCTATGAGAGCTGTGTTCATCTGTCTGGTCTGCTTTTTCCACCCCTAAGTTCCAAGTAAAACAAATCCTGTTAAATTCTAATCTGTTAAATGCATATTGAAAGAGTGCTGATAGAAGAGAATAATGCTACTTTGCTCAATACTTTATTTAACACTTTATTTAATGAACCAAAAGAGTGTTAATAACCTTGGGTGAAAACTAGACAAAAAAATTCCCAGAGGAGTAAGATTTTGTTTCCATCCCTATTCTGTATGGGATGGTCAAAACATTTAAGTTTTATTTCAATGGAATAAGGAAAACTCAAGCCATTCTTGTGTCTTTGTGGAGGGTATTTCCATGTTGAAACACAGGAATATTTCAGGTGAACTTGCTTTGTTCCAAGCTTGAAATACAAGATGTTTACTATTTCATGTAGGCAGCTGGATTATATTTAGGATACATTCCTATATAGAGTCCTCAATTTACAGCCATAACTGAGGCCAAGATTCCCACTGCTAAGCAAGACATTTGTTAAGTGAGTTTTGCCTCACTTGCGACCTTTCTTGCTACAATTGTTAAGTGAATCACTGCAGTTGTTAAGTAAGTAATAAGGCTGTTAGATGAATCTGGCTTTCCCATTGACTTTGCTTGTCGGAAAGTCACAAAAGGTAAATTACATGACCCCCCCAAGACACTGCAACTGCAATAAATACAAGCCAGTTACCAAGCATCTGAATTTTGATCACATGACCTCAACAATGCTGTGACAGTCATCAGTGTGAAAAGCAGTCATAAGTAAATTTTTCAGTGCTGTTGCAACTTTAAATTGTCATTAAATGAATGGTTGTAAGTCAAGGACTACCTGCATACAATCCTTTGTCGGCAATATTTTTTATAAATAACTAAATTGATATGACAGAAGTAGAAAAGGAATTTCCTTATTTTTAGTCTGTGTGACCAAGTATGGGAGACAAAAATAACATTTAATCTGCTGATCTGGTGCATATGTTGTTTACAAGCTTTCAACCAACTTCACTGTCTTTTCATGGGTTAAAAGATCTAAAAGAGAAAGCATTAGCAATATCCATTTTTATTTAATTTTTCTGTGTAACTTCCCAATACAACCATAGAAGGAAAGTCATCCTTATGATTTAGATTGTAAACAGTGAAATGCAAAGTCTCATAAGCAGAAATATTAAAGCAAGTAATAATACATGACTATAAATCTTTTAATTTATTTCACAAACAATTAGTTGGATGGCACTTAAGAGCAGAGTAAAAAAAATCCCTTCCTTTGAAATGGATGCAAAGCCCACTTCCCCCTCTTCTAACCATTCACAACTTCAAAACACACAAAATCTTTATTGGTCAGGAAGTTGTTCATTGGTACATTTTTATCATTAACATTTATATTCCTTTCTAAGGCAACATTATCTTAGAAATTTATTGGCACTTGGCAATTTATTGGCACATATATGTATATACAGTGTGCAAAATAGCAGATACTCAAGTTTCTTTGCTGTCATACTTTAAATGTATGTGTACATTGTCAACACGCATGGCTATCCCATGAAATCTTAATGCACTTCAAAATGAAGTTTGTTATGAAGTAACAACATGTTACAAAAATGTAAGCTATTACCATATGAATGCAAACCTTTGGTTTTCATGGTACTCATTTATATGAAATTCTATTATTGTGAGGGTTGTTAAAAAGAACAAAAAGATATAACTTAAAAGCAAGCATAATAAACCATGTGAATAGTTTCCCACTCTACCTCAATACCCAAAGCGTGGGTGATTTCAGAAGTTAAAGATACAAGTGTTTTACGAAGCTTTGCTTGGCATTGTTTTGAGTAACCCAAGGAGTGCTCTTTCCTTTCCTGCCATGAACATCAGAACAACATAAGACAAAGCATCCACAATATAGAACAGGGGTCTCCAAAGTTAGCAACTTTAAGGCTTGTGGACTTTAATTCCCAGTTCCCAGAATTCTGGGAGTTGAAGTCCAGAAGCCTTAAAGTTGCCAAATTTGGAGACCGCTGGTATAGAACATATCTGGTCTTCCCTGCCAGAAGCAATCCGGTTGCCAGATGTCATATACAGTATGCATGTTACATTTTGAAATATGTTACATGCAATTCTTCTACATCTCAATCTCAATTCTTCTATACCATCCATCAATCTCTCTGGTTTTGACTTACATGCAGTAAAATGCAAGAATATAAGCCTTGCAGAAGCTCCCCATTAAATACTGTTCATTTTGCTGTCCAGTTTTCTGTTAGAACAGCTCATTTAACTTAGTGCGTTTATTTATTTTTTAGTGAAATTATTTTAATAAATGATTTCAGAATATATTTAATCAGACCCGTTATATGGTCTTATGAAAATTATGCTTCAGATAATGCTTTTTCCGGTACATAATTTCACAAGTACAATTATAAGTGGCCCTTTCAGAACAATATGTTATTATGGGAAAATTTTCCTATAATCATGCATTTTCATCTGCAAGATGATTAAAGTTGCTAAATTGTGTCGTACATTTTTTCTCAAAGGGGCTTTGAGAATAATGAAGGTTATCCTCCCAACAACCATGTGCAATAGGCTTTGTCAAAATAGGAATTCCTTTTTGGTAAGGTTGAATCTTAAAGATTAAAAGACAAATTTATCATATTGAAATGACGGAAAGCTAATTCATGCAGCCAAACACTGATATTATTTACAGAATAATACATGACAGTATTTTTAATACTGTCATGTATTATTGTGCAGAGAATGTATTATAGACTACCTGTTTCAATTAAAAAAGGGAAGTGTCAGAAGAAAATCATATAGACTTGATTACTCCATATAAAACAGCAATGTATAGTGTATTTTATGCACATTTTTTAGAAGTATGTCTCAGGTTCCAATATGTATTACTGCCAGATAAATGTGCAAAGCATGGTTGCCTTAAGTTCTAGAACTGGAAAGTAAATTTACCAGCTTATCTATTTTCTCCTAGCAAGTAGAGAAATGTGCATTTTTCTAATGAAAGCAGTTGGAAAGGAAACCAAGGCCATTTAAACAAGAAGCTCTGGTTTTTAAAAACCAGACCAGATTGCAACATGATAAGTTTCCTGTATCTATAAAATCACAGCGCTGTCCCAAGGCATGTTGTCATTTAGTTAACTCATGATTTGTGGAAAATATTTTGAGCAAATACAACTGCTACTAGACGTGGATGTTGCTCCCTCTATTTCCTCCCCCTCCCCCTGCCCCTTCCTTTCCTCCTCCCCTTCCCCCTCCCCTTCCTCCATCAACGCCTTCTGTGGACTGTGAGGAAGAAGGGCGCGGATTCCTGATCCGTCCATGGCTGTTGAATCCCACCGGTGTTCTCAATCGTTGGCTTACTTGGGAAGCAGCACCATCAGATTCCCAGTGTTCCAGTTCTTCTCGTACAAGTCTCTCCATCTGATCTCTGTGTGCGTCATTCTCACAACCCAGCTTTTCATCCTAAGCAGAAATACCACAGTCTCTGATCAATGGCTAAACTCTATTTTAGCGCAAAGAAATAAACACATTTCTAAATCATTTTTTAAAATAATAACAGGTAGTGCTCAACTTACAATTGGGACCAGAATTTCCATTGCGAAGCATGGCTGCTGCTAAGTGAATTGTGCCAGATTATATGTCCTTTTTGATCATGGTGGTCAAGAGAGTTGTTAAGTGAATCATGTAGTCATTGAACAAATCCAGTTTTGCCCATTGACTTTGCTTGTAAGAAGCCACCTGGGAAGGTTGCAAATGGCAATCATATGACCCCAGGATGCTGTGACTGCTGTAGATACATGCCAGTGCCAAATTTTCATCATGTGAC